ACTTAACAAGACACATTCAAATGTTTAACAAGCTGTATGTGTAATTTTCCAAACCCTATATGCTAAAAGGGTAGAAGTTGATGTAACCTATCATTGACCATGAACACCATATGTGCTCTATGTCAGCCCAACTTACCAGTTTAGCCTTCACTAAACCGTATCACACTGCTTAGTGTGGTACACAAACCTAGTTTACTTCAATTTCTTTTGTGAGATTGTTCATAGAAACACATCATAAAAAAAATAAATAAATAAAAAAAAAGGGGGCAGGGATAGCTCAGTAGGTAGAGTGGTGGCCCCATGATCGGAAGGTCGGGGGCTCGACTCCACTGCTACCGGCAACCCTGAGGTACCCCTGAGCAAGGTACCGTCCCTACACACTGCTCCCCGGGCGCTGCATTGGTGGCTGCCCACTGCTTCACTGGGTGAATGGGTTAAATGCAGAGGAACTATTTCCCTATGGGGACTAACACGCACACTTTATTTATCAGGCACACATAATGTATAGATCTAATATCTGATTTAAAGAATCAGAAGAATTTTAAATGAATTATAACGGTAAAGTTTAAAAATGTCCTGTTTAACAGCTGAGCAGTGCTTACCTTTGAGAATAATCTCACATTTCCTCTTCTGTCTCTCATCTTTTTATCTCTTAATGTCACAAACTAATGTCTCTCTCTCTCAGTAACATGGCATTACATAACATTAGTTCCCAAACACATTTGTAGCTAACTGCTCAGAAACGGTTTGTGTTTTTGGTGATATTTGTTGAGCTGTTTGAAAAGTTGCATTCGAAATTATTACTTCAAGTTACTGTTCATGCTTGCTCCTCTTCTGTGTTACTGTAGATACTGAAGTACAGCAACCATGAGTTTACATCTACATCATGAATACACCAAAGGGATAAGAAGAAAAACAACAGCCACGGCATGTTTTTATTTTCTTATCAGTGAGCACTGGAAGCAACGTCAGGCTGCAGTACATGAAAAATGTATTGACAGTAATATGCATTAACCTGCCTATCAAATGTCATTGCTTATTATCTAATAGTACTGGAAGTAATTGTGTCAAAAGTCATCATCTGCCAAACAGTGATTGTTGTCATTTGCCAAAAGAATTCATTTTTCTGTGTTTAAACTGTCTAAAAGGACTTATTATAAGTCATCTAGAAAGAACATGTCACAAATGTAAAGTCTGCAATCATTATGTTGACTAAGTGAATTTCATATATTATTTATTTTATTCAGAAAAAAAGATTAAATATCTCTTTTTCAAGAGACGTGGCCAAAAGGGGAGTAGAAATTGGAACAAAGGGGCAAGATTCATTGTAATGTAGACCACAGAGGAGGTACAACAGGTCATTTTTAAAATTTTTGGTATAACCCCCTCATAACCCCTTCATGTTGACTACAGCTTAGCCCCCAAATATTAACAAGAATATTGCACATAAAAAACCCACAAACAGACATTAGCAATCGCTTTTTGGCAGATGATCACCTTTTCTTCTGCCCTCTGAAGCATTTTAGCACCCTTTAGCTTGTTGTTTTGATTCCCCTGTCTGTAGCTGTACTGTTTTGGTCTTATTTGCTAAAAGGAAAAAAACTAAAAAACTATATATCCTACAAGCACAGCTAAAGCTAGGCCAAACAGGGCTATCAATACAGTATGTCGCTGGTGAACACAGTGAAACATTTAGCAGTTAAAGAGAAAGGTTGAAATGAGAGTATTAAATTTTCCCTAAAACTCCAAGTACTGATGATGCCTAATTTATACCAGAAGTTACAAATGTGTAACTGCTGTAGCTGACACAACAACACATTATTTTATGAAGGTAAACATGTGAGGCTGTAGGTGTGAGAGCTTGCAGAATAAGATGTGACAATGTGTATGCGTGAGATTTTCAATCACATTACCTGTTTCCCTCTCAGCATGGACATCTTCTCATACGCTATTATAAAACCTGAATTTCTTTTGCACCCAGAGGAGTCTCCTCCTCAGTATTATCAAAATATTATCAAAAATTCAAATGACACTCATTACTGGCTTCATTTTTCACAACTGCATGCAATGTCATTCATTTATAAAGTTGTTGCTTGGAATGTGATTTTTTTTCCGATTACAATCAAGCTGTTCAAGTTTGTTTTCAGAGCGGCCAAACATCCTGATAACAGCCTATGACAGAAAGTAAAGGACAAGAAAATAAGGGTAGTTGTTTTGCATCTAAATGAATACACCAAAGTGAATCTAATACATCCAACTGAATGATGTGATGACAACCTCATGAAAACATACTCTGCTGCAGAATGACCAGCCTGTATCATCACAACCTCTGTCTCATAATACAGACATACAGATGTTCTCGCGATCTTCCCATGGATGAACAAGGACATATGCCATCTCTAGTGAAATACTGCCCTCCAGTGGAATCAAACTTTCAGATAAACATCAACCAGGACCTTTCTATTACGCAACAAAAAATAAATAAAAATAAATAATGACTGAGTTTGATTATATTGATACTGGCAGGTGTAGTACATTTTTAATAAAGTTGAGAGAAAACTCATGAGAACTTGAAAAGAAGGCAAGCTCCCAAAACTACCATGATCTGAATGACTGATAACTTACACAAACTTAGTGGAAAAGACATCATCAAGCCTTCCATCTCAACACTGGAGACCAGTCCCATGAGAACCTTTTGGACATCACCAGATTTCAGGTATGGGCAGATGTTCTTCCACATTTTTAAATGTATTTCACTTAAACACAACTCCTTTAACGAGCACAACCTAAAATTTCAATACTTGGACTTCTGTAAGTACTTGAACATAGACTTGTGTAATTTGTCCAAACCAAAATAAATACTTTCCGCTCCTTCATTACCATTGCTTAAATGACATGAGCAAGGCCTCTTGGGCTCTACAAACAGATAAAAGTGTTGCTGTAATGAGCAGCTTTAGGTGTACCTGGGTGAATATCAATGTAGGCTCCCTCCAAAACTGTACTAAGATTGAGGAGAAAATCACACTGCTACTCAGACTCATTTGGTCATCACTTTCATTTTTTTTTCAATGCTATATTAGTCCTCCAAAAGTGGTTAAAGTGTACGTGTCTCTATAAAAACCTCTCAGAAGCATATACTGTTTCTCCTCTGTCACGTTCATGTTCTGATATTGTCTCTCTCGCTGCTTTAGATCCATCTTCTTGTGTTTGCAATACAGTACACGTGTTAGCTTTCCACTCTTGGTGAGTTAATCTGAAAACAAACTAGATAAACTCACACAACACACAACATCAAAGACAAATGACACTGGTGAAAGATCATTTTTGAGGAGAGGTGACTTTAAAGTATCTGGACCCAGTGTATTTATTTTCCCTTCCACTACACAGCTGGGTCCAGTCAGGTGTAGTCTGTGGTGTTCCGGCTATGATGTAGTGTATGATATATATGCACACATATATATTTAAAACCCGATGTGCTCTTTTTAACCTCTAAAATTTGGTGTGGAGTTTACCCTGTGGAGTTTCAGATCAATAGTCACACTTTCAACATCTGTCTGTTTTCAATTTTTTGAATCATGCACATTCACCATACACACTGTTCCTGTTTTGTTTCTTCTCACAGACCTCTCATAAAAATTGATGTAGCTGCTGTGACATTACCCACTGGTGTTTAACCCTTTATCGAAAGCCTCAAGTGTAATATGTTGGTTATTGGCCACTTGTTTTTTGTTTTTTGTAAGAACTACTAGAAATTTAAAAATTCTGAAAAATTCTTGTGTAGACTGTAAAAGTAACTGTGCACATGCAAACACTCTCAAAAGGCATCAACGCTACAAAAATAGTGAAGAGTTCCAGTTGATGTGACTGATAGTAGCTGGCTTCTAGTCATGGTTAAAAAAAGATGGATTCGAAAGGTGAAGCCAAAGTAGAAGTGCCTGAAACCTGCATTGTTTCAGGCACTAGGAGGCAATAGCTGAGAATGAAAAATAATAACTATCATCCTGAGAACCAATGAAAAAGGCATCTTTCATTGTAACTGATTTTGTGATTTCCTGCCTGTTTGGAGGCTACCCAAACACATGAGATATCATTGGTAAGGCCAGGATGTCCTCTACTGAGTACAATAGGACTTTTTAGGGTAGCTCAAGTAAGAAGATACAGACCAAAAACAAATGTCCATTACAGAGGACATTCATGAATAGGATAGGTCTCAGGAGGCTATGGAAAAGGCTGACTGCCAGGACCTCAGCAGGGATGAGAACAGAGGATAATTCATAGTCACTGGTACCAACTTGTGACTTACAAGTGAGTGATCCCTGAGCATGTACTTAGATCCATCCCTTGTAGTCACATCTGGTTCCAAAAGGATGACGAGGATGAAAATATTCATTTTACCAATCAGTGGGTGATGTTACTGTAGCTAAGTCAATCTGCTCATTATGGCTTTGTTTCACACGGAACCTTAAGGACACACATAAATATGATATATACATTCAAATATTAAATATTAGTTTAAAAGAAAACTCTATAAGGCACCTTTAACTCGTAGTACTAGTTTGAAATTTTGTGTTAAAATTAGCTTTAAAAATACATTTTGAAGGCAACAGTAGAGAGCTTCCTTTGGTTGAACCTGTTACAGTGCAAAAGTGTATTAGAGCAGAAAATAAATAAAAAGGAAGGAAGAGAGAGAGAGAGGGAAAGAAGAACTGACTCACAACAAAAGTCCTGGCCCAACTTGAAATGAGGACGTAGCAATTATGTGGTCGTCGCCTAGGTCGCTCTGGTGTTTCCTCAGTATAAGCGGTCATAAAAATAAAAGGATTTTAGGTGAAGAACATCAGGAAGTTCTTTCTCAGTGATGCTGACAATCCTAAAATTTGTGAAATCCTTTGAAGTAAATCAGTAAAGTTGAAGAAAGAAAAAATAACAGAAAACAGTGAAACAATCAAAGTCATCACTGACATTACAAAGCGACGTACACCAAATCAGAACAGGACATGTTAGATGGGGCCAGGACACACCATGCTGGGTCATGCTGCTCTGGGAGATTTATTTAGTGATTTTTCCTTTTTTTTTTTTGTTCTTTTTTTTGTTTATTATGTTGTTCACTTGCGCTGTCAGGAGTGTAGTAAATGGGACAGTCAAGCAGCAAGAGTCACAGTTCATCATCATCATCATCATCATCATTATCATCATCATCACTATCACCACCATTATTATCATTCTCCTAATGGTATCATAATAATAATTTCATCATCATCATCATTATTGAACTTTTTCCTCAAGCTAGAAAATAATTTACATCACATTGTTTTTACTGACTTTTGAGACCACAAACATTCCAGCAACACACTCTAGGAATAAGGGTGGGTAACAATCAGAAAAGCATGACTTTTTGCATAGTATTAAATGAACAAAGACATTGAGTTCTTTATTTACAATTATTGTATAGATAAAAAAAAATATCATAAAAACAAGATGAACACTTAAATCACTTACCCATAAATGGCTATATGCCAAAAAAGTTATTTGTTGGCATTTCTCTTTTTCTTTGTTCCACAAACTGCATGCTGCTAAATACAGTACATCGAGGCAGGTGAGAGTATATTGCAAAAAGTATCATTGTTATCATCATCATCGTTATCATTATCAGTGTCATCGTCAAAGTTATTATTGGTTCCTACAGCACGTGTTATGATTGGGATGTAATCACGGTGTTTTCTGACAGGAGCAGTGATTGATCACATACAGCCAAACGGCTGCATCGGCAGTATGACTCATTGTGGTGCATGATGGTAGATGTAGTCAGGAGGAGCTCCTGTGTCCACACCAGTGGAGTTCCTGTCCTCGATGGACTCATCGCTGTATTTACAAAGATTATTTTTTAAACTCAGTTTCTTTGCATCCCCTTAAAGCTGAATGTCCTCCCGGATGTAAAAGTGGTTTGAGAATGTTGGCTCAAGTCTTTTTTTTAATATTATTATTATTATTATTGAAAATGCTATTGTTTTGTATTTGTTTTGTTTATTGTTTTACAGTTTTTACAGAGAAACAAATAAATTGTCAAGTTAAAACAATGGAAAGAAAACAAAAGAAATCAACAGCTTTCGAGCAAAATATTAGAACCCAAACTGGGTTTTTTTCTTTCTCCAACTTAAATAAGACAGATTTTTTTATTCAGATGGTCCATGTTACGTTTTCAACACGCCTGAGCTGACTGGTAAAGCTTGTGCACCCTCTCCAGATGGACAGATTGGCTGGGAAATGACAGAGGAGGAGGATATAAAAAAGAAGAGAGATAGAACTTGTTGGATAAATGATTGTATATACTTTACTAGCTTATAGAATTTTTGTTTTTAGAAAAATCTGGAGGGTTTTTTTCTTTTCAAGTTGCATAATGAGCCTATCACGTCATGCTTGCCAGTGATTTCGATTAGTAATAGAAATACAATAGTACAGGCTAGTTAAGTGGCCTTGTCCTTCGGAGTGCAATAAGACTGGGTAAATGTGCCTTCTGTATGTAACATCTGTCTGGTAATGTCTGATTGGTCAAAGCACAATAAATAGTTTACAACTAGTGAGTACAGTTGAGATGCTAGAGTACTGTATATTCTGTGACGGCAGGAAGACAAGCTTGGTTAAAACACACAAAAGCACATCTAGAATTACACCACAGAAGTTTTCATTCATAACCAGATAGTGCAGAAAATCTTTTTTCTCTCATATATATATATATATATATATAGAAAAAGAGTCAAAGCAACATTCCATTTTTGTTCTCATTTCTTCTTTTTTTTTTCAGTTTTTCTGTTTTCTTAGATGTTAAAAATGTCTGCAGCTTTGTGTGGCTGCATGTGTCTCTGCTAGAGGAAAAGAAACTCCTTTAATCAAAAATAAACCAATAGGTTAAATAAAAAATAGACACAACGCAAAAAATATTCCATGTTTTCAACCGAAACGTTTTGATTTCCGAGCGGTACAGAGAAGCCAAATATAACTGCAAATTTCTAATATGACTCAGCTGCAGCCTTTTGATGGTCATAGATTTGTTTTTGTTGTTTTTTTTAAAAACCTCAAGTCCTTTGAAGAAGCAGGTTTATCTAGAAGAGTTCGCTATAAAGGTCCTGATATCAGCCTTTGACTCGAGCCCTGACCCCAGGCCAGTGCTGAAGCACAGAGAAAAATAAGACATAATCTTAACAAAAGAGAAGAAGCAGTGGATAAAAAGAATAAAATATCCCCCTCTGTCACAAAAAGGAGGCCTCTGTTTAGAAAAAAACCAAAGGCAAGCCACTCCAACTTGATCCCAACAATCATATAGAGTAATACTAAGATTCCACAATTACTATGTATCCCATTATATTTTGGTTTCTTTTTGTTGTTAAACCTCTAAAAATATCTACATTATTTGACAAGACAGCAGGCAAATTCCAGCACAGGGTTTTTCAGTAATAACACACCGAAACAGCTCTGGTCCATCTGAGCTTCGACTTCGCCTTCCTCCTTCTAGAAACCAGGAAGTTTATCTCTACGAGGTTGTAAACAAATTACATTCTCTTTAAGACATAAATAAGTCAAAGGTATTGGAGCCATTGAAGCAGGAACAAGGCAACATGCCAACAAACAAAGATAAACTCTCTCTAAATATATTTATATGTATTTAAATTTATAGAATATATCCCATAAATGCTATCATCATTATTATTATTTTGCATTCCTCTTTACGGACAGGTGCAAAACTGTTGTGCAAGTTGAGCCCTACCACCTCGATACACATTTCCGTTTATGGATGAAATAAATTTGTACAGTTGGGTACATGTTCATGCCACACAGAAGAGGGGACTTTGCAGGCCAGAAACTCAGAGATGCTGTCTTTAAAATCGCAGTCCACAGTGAGGCCTAGCCCATCAGAACCAAAGAACTCCAATAAAATTAAAAGCCTTTTAAATAAAACCTGGGTAATGTACATTCATGCAGGAGCAACAATAATAAGAACAATAATAATCAGAATCAGAATTAGAATAATAACAATATTTTTCAATTTAATTTAAACTATTATCAGTATTAACAATGTTTTTCGTTGAGGAGAGGAAGAGTGAGCAGAGTTTAAAGTCTGTCCTCTTGTGTGATTTTTACTCCTCAGCAGTCTCCCTCCTCATCGTCCTCCTCCCAGTGCCGCTAAAGACACCATTCGTACATATGCGCAGTCAGACCCACGCTTATACAGTACATGCTAACCAGTACAAGTGTATTGTCGTACACACCACCGTGACTGCCGCTGTACTCATACAACCACAAAAGCAGGATGGCTGTGTAGGTTTTGTGGCTTTGTTGCGCTTTTTTGATTGTATGCTAGTTTGTTTTTTCTTTTCACCTTGACATATTACTTAGATTTTCTCTGCTTTGAAAGGAGCAGAGCGCTTCAAGGGCTCTAGGCTAAGGGAAAATGGTGGACATTTTCCCCCCAGGACTGTGTTGCCGGTAGGTAGCGGTTTGGGGGAGCTCGAAGTTGAGAATTGGGTGAAAATTTGGGGGTGAAGACTTGTATGGTTACAGTTAAAGGTCTGGAGGAATTGGAGGAGGTGTCCCGACAATGTGAGGAAACAACATTAGAGGTTAGAGCTGAGTTTAGGATCAGGGTTAGAGGCTTGTCTCCAAGCTGTGCAGAGGACTGGCAGGGCTGGAGGACGCAGCTGATTTACTGGTATCGATAGTGAGATTAATGCCACTGTCAATAGCGTTGTTGTTCTTGTTAGGGGACGAGGGCTGGCTTGAGTACTTCATCCTTCTACGAGCAGAATCATCGTCCGTGTCATCAATAAGGGGGATGTTGGGCGTGGAGTCTTCTATCCTAAACTCAGGGTGTGTCATGAAGTTGTGGATGGATGTTCTGGAGTCTGGTTTTTCCAGGCCTTCATACAGGGAGCTACGGAATGCATTCACAACTCGGATCTGACATGGAAAGGGACAAAACAAAACAAAAAAACAAGAAGAAAAATGGTAAGAGGTGATGCCGGAGACAATATCAAAGGGTTGGAGGTACCCTCGAGATGAAAGAAAAGGCGGGGGGGTGGGAGGGTTTGAAGAGAAAAGGGGCATAGAAGGAGGGATCCTCTCATTTGAGGATAAAGAGTTAAAGAAGGAGCAGAAGGTGGAGGAACAGCAAGGGAGAAGGCGACTGCAGCCTGTGTTCTGCTTTCACAAGATGACTACAGTCACAAGTCATTCAATTTTGGCGTGCACTAAGGAAAACTGTGAGGAACACAATCATAAAAAAACACAACAAAATCATACATTTCAAGAAAAACAAATACCAAAGCAACACGAATGCTCGTTGTAAGTATACGCTTTAGTCCAATGTGCTGTATACCTAGAAACAAGCCACGTTAATAAATGGAATGCTTACAGAAAATTTAAAGGAGAATATCACATGCAAGTTTGTAGAAATCTGGTGGACGAGGTCAGTAAGAAGGAAGGAGGTTAGATCTGAGAGATCCAATCAAGTGGTTTAAAAACTTCTGAAGATACCAGAACACTGTCTGGGACAATATCCACACAGACTCTGAGTGGGACACACAAACACACGAGTATAGCACACGGTGGGTATGGCATGGTCTCAAACAGGGCAATGGACAGTCAAGCCTGCATGAGGTTGGCTCAACACAAGCATCGCAGTGTAAAAACTCACAACAAAACAATAAAACCAAAAGCAAAACAGTGGCATTGAGACAACGAGCAAACACAGCAGGTTAAAATGTGACAAACACAGAAAATGAACAGGAGCTAAACACAAACTACATGCAACATGACAACAGGACAGTGAGGGAGTGGTGAACACCGGCACACAGAGTACAGACACTAAACACATGGAAGTGAATAATGAAAATAAGAGTTTTACTGTCAGACGTCTGACGGTCAAAGCATGTTCCTGAGTCCATGCACGTCGACGTAAACACTCAAGTATAAGGTCCAAACAACTATGTGACAATTTATTGAGACTAAAAAGTAGCACAGTAGTCACAGACTATGGCAAATTGCTGTTTTCATAAACCCTGTGTGCATCTTCAATTTATTTTGTAAAAACATCCTACTAACGTTTTACAAGAAACTAAATCATGACAAAAATGTGAGGTATTTGGAAAAAAACTGCATCAGAATTGTTGCTGGGTTTTAATTGATAATTGGCTTTACATTTACATTATTAACTCAATTCTCGTTTAAAGTAGCTGAAACTAAAGAAATGAAAATAAATTGCTGTTGAATGTAGCAACATATCAATGCTTTTATGTAGTTTGTGTTTCCAGTTAATAAAACGTTTAATTAAACATAAGAAACCTGTTTTCTCATTCTTCACAGGAGCAGTGAATACACTAAATGGACAAAAATACTGGGACAGGAAACCCATGCCTGTGAAGCTCCCGCTGCACAGTTTTTATGCTGATGTTAATCCGAGAGGAGTTTTGGAGCCCTGCAGTTACTGACTCAGCAGAGACTTGATAACCTTTACACATTATGTGCCTTCATTTGTCACCAGGCATGGCAATCTGCTGCCTGGAGTCCCAGGCCAGCAGGGGACCCCAAGGTCTGATCAACCTCAAACTACAGCAATGGTAATATGCAAGGTTTGCAATGCCAGTAGTTGAGACCTGACTTCCCTAAGGGGTCCTGCCCACCTTTACTCACTCCCATCGCAAGTGGCACACATCAGTCTGTTTAAACAAGCCAAATGTTAGGAAACCTTTTAGGAGTGAAAATAGACAGAAGAAGAAGAGGGGAAAAAGCAGGACAGTGGGGAATGAAGCAAACAATAATGGCTAATAAATATATTGCTCACTAGCTACAGTAAATGCTACTAGTCTAGCCTTAAATGTAGGGGAGAGACAGTCAAAATCATGAAGCTTCCACTAACATGAAGTTATTTCTTCTCTTTACTTAGATGTTTAACATTAGCTAACTTAGCTAGCAGAGCAGCATAGTTAGGACACTGGCAATGGGCCTGTTTGCATAGCTATCATGTTAAAGCAACACAGAAGCTAGCTACAGTATTAACAGTTTTTAACTTAGTCTTGGGCATTGTTGTCAAAATAAACATGGTTTCTGCCATAAGTAATGTTTTACTGTCATTTTATCGGACTATTGTTTGTGGCGGTGGAGTCAAATTATTTAAAACAAAGTGGCAGTAAATGCTGTTGGCGGGTCCTTCTGTGAATTTTTGTCTGGGGCCCCAAAAGAACAACAACCTTGTTCTGTAACTTTATGGTGAAAACAATCGAATTCAGTAATTACGAAATGTGGCCCAATACTTTTGTCCATGTAGTGTATTTGAAATTTAAACTCTGCCACAAACCTTAAGACTACAATATTCCTTCTAATTTTAAGATATTAGATTTATAAAGCTTTGAGAATAGTGCATATTATATGGCAAACATTCTGGTAGTGCTGCAGTAACTGTGGTGGAGTAGGTGTAAGGAGAGAAATGAAAATTAATAATAAACAGAAGCCTGTCTGGATGATTGCATGTGACAGGATGTCTGACAAGTAACACTGATGGGGTGTCAAAAAAGGGTGGGGGCTGATTTTACTTTGCTGCAGAGGATCTATGTCTGTAACTATGGTAACATGACAGTCAACTACACCAACAGTATGAAGCAACAAGACGGGATGAATTATTGGTACACTACTGCCTTATAGTGAGTACCCTGGCCCCGATTCCAGTTCGCACAACCTTCACATGGGATTTAATTTGATTTTCAATAACAGGTTGTTGTCAGTGAGGATATGTGTGTCCATGTGTGCAAAAGAGAGTGAGAGAGACAGAAAGATGAAGGTGGGCAAATCATTAAATAACACAGACGCTTTTGACTAAAATACACACTCGCCTCAAAGTTTGCAATGTGGCAGTCAAATGTGAAAATATTTTAAGCCAAATATACCGCTGCTACCTGAATATTTTCTTGTCACTGCTGGTGATTCAGCTCAAAGGACATGTAGGAGGTAAAATTTGTTTTATGCCAAGCCAATGTGATTTGCCACAACAGCGTCACACTCCCAGGTAAAAAAAACAAACAAAAACAAAGTTAACACTGCAACTTATACTTGAATGTTCACCCAGTGACTTGGTGATTTGATTGGAATTAGTTCACATTAATGTCTATAAAGACATAAAAATGTGAGGTTTGGATGAGGGGATGATGGATGGAAGATGAGCAGAGGGAGACAAACTCACAACCTGAAATGTCACGCCGTGGGTATCACCCTTAGTCCTGCGCTCCTAGCACTCTGAGGAAACAAACACACATTCACCAATGAGAAGACAGTACACCCAACCATGGGACGAGATATCAAGATGAATTTGAAATCCAGCGTGAACAAGAAAAAGACAGAAGAAATAGAGAAAATGAAAACGCAAATAGCAAGAACGAAAGACAAAAAAAAAAAACTTCAGAAATGCCAACCTCAAGATGGAGACTGTTGTTGTAAATTAAAAACAAATAAATCAATAAACTACAAAAAATAACTTTCTGCTCATGACAGGATGGCACCCCTGAAGCAAAGAGAGTGGAGAAGCAGACTGACAGAGTTCTGACTCACGGCCAGTAGTGGGAGGAGCAGTAGCAGCAGTAGTGCTTGTAGGAGAGGAAAGGGCATTGGACAAGGACACGTGACTAGGACTAGAAACATTGGTTACATCCTGGGTCTGGCTGGTGGTGGATGATTGGCGTCTCAGAGCCCCTGCCCCCTGAAAGGAGGTGCCACTCTTGAAGGTGTTGACTACTTCAATCTGTAGGAGAGCGGGACAGGAGAGGACAAATGGCTGCTCAGAGTGACACAGACCAAATGGTAACACAGGTTGATTGGTAGGGTGACTGGTGGTAGAGGGAGTATCTCAGTCATGACATGATGGAGGGCAGCTAAAAGTCAGGGTGTGGTGTCCCCACAGCAAAAACACTGAATCTGATCTAAAGAGCTGGTTCACCCAAATTACATGTGAGCTATAATGGTGGCCATGCAAATACTCTGGGTTCCCTTCAGATTTGTTGCGTGATGCTGATACAGAGCAACATTAAAAACATTTTATTAAAATTCAGGAGCTAATATTTATCTCTGGAAAAGAAACACAAATCATTTTCGTGTAAAATTTAAGAGAAGTAAGCGTGAGCAGTCTACAGTAGAAGAACTTTCTACAAAGCAAACATTTCATGTTCGTTCTGATAGTGTTTCTTTTTTACCCAGAGTAACACTGATGTTGTTTGCATTATTGTTCTACGTTATTAGCACCACAGAACAAACTTGTATTCAGTACCTAAAATATGATATTACAAAACCTTGGGAAATTACAACTTTCTGCATGGCCAGATAGCATAAGAGGAAGATTGCCAAAAGCTTTGTTTTCCTTTAATTTGGGTGATCCCACCCTTTGACTTACTATCTGATGTAAACAAATTAAATTCACAGATGCAGCCATTCACATCATGCAGTGCATGTTGTTTTGTGACATCTTCACTGAAAAAGAAAGTTAAGATTTAGTTCAAATTGGGTTTCGTTTTTCTTTCTTTTGTTTAAATTCCTGACCAATGCATATACAGTTGTGATTAGAAGTTTATATGTACTCATCATGGGTGTCAATGTCATGGTAAATTGGGGCTTTAAATGATTTATTTGACCTGTTCTTTTTCCAGGGTAGAATGATTATGCAGAATTTACCACTTCAACCAACCTCCTCTCATCTGATGATGAAAGTTTGGCTCTTATTCCAGACCTTGGCAAATTGTACATATGTGCAATTAACTTGTACTGAGATAGAAATCTACAGTTGTCCTTCTTGGATCCTCAGTGAGTTCCTTGGTCTTTCATATTGTTCTGAATGTGAGTGTGACTGATCAGTCATGATCACTAATGAGAAGTTATTAAGCCTTAAAGTCAATTTAAAAGGCATTGTAGAACCTTAAGCAGACTTTATTAAAGTGTACATATATATTTGAGCTTAGATATGGATCAGAGAAAATACAAAATAAATTCAAACTTTTGCACCCAGTTATTGTTTCTTAAAGTCATTACAGACATTCGCTGTACAATCATTCAACCCTGGAAAAAGAACAGTTCAAAGCAATCATTAAAAGCTCCAAAGTACCATGACATTCATGCCCATGATGACTGTATGTAAACTTCTGACCACAGCTGACCACAATGACTCATTTTAATTTGATCATAACCAGCTTATTAATAAGGATTCTATACTTTAACACTAAACACTGTCATTTGCGTACAGCACAGATACTGTTCTGGCTGTAGTTTTTTAACTTGCTCTTGCGGATGTTAGGCAGCATCTGTCCACAGTACTACACCCAGGCCCATCAATAACACATCAGTGAGACGAAACCAGATCCAGCACACAAGCCGGACTGTCTGCAATATCACAGTGATACCGGTCTGCAGAGCTCACAAATGTGAAAACAGTTCAGTGGCTATATACTTGTATTTAACTCTTGGAGCTTCCACAGGTCCATGGCGGTGATCTAGGCAGTCCAGCGAGGCAAAATGGCATCTTTATGCTCCTGAGTAATTCATCTTGAGATAAAAGGACTTTAAAACTGTGACTGACTAACATGACCAACATATAAAATACAGTCTATCACTTCCTCATGGGCAATGCCTGAGGTGGAGAGACCTACACAAAACAGATCTTCTGAGAAACACAGACAAACAGTAAAAGAGAAGCTTTTTAGTAAATATTAGGGGTGACATATTTACCTTTTAGTATTTTTATTATATAACTGGACAAAATTATTATATTATTATTATGGAACTCAGCATATTATTGTGTAAAATTAAAGGGAATCTTAAACTGATTTTTAAACAAGTAACCATAAAGTCCACATGCTGTATCCATATATTAACTGGGATTGAACTGTCTCTGTTACTTGCCCTCACCTGAGTCTGAATGCGGTTGAGTCCTCTGAACCAGAGGATCTGTCCTCTCCTCAGCTCCCTCTCTGCGTGGTCGATCTCCTCATTTTCTTCATTAACATCCTCCTCTGGCAGCTCATCTTTCTGAGTTAACTGCCCTGCCCGCCGCAGGAAGCGCAGTCTGCTATTGGGTATGGTGGCTATCACCTAACCCGCAGAGAAGTAAAAGCACTAAGTGATGTACTTACTGTAGAGATGCACAGACAGGAAAATTGACCAAAAGACTTAGAAAGGGAAAACTTTGCCTATTACCTGTCCCCACACAAGCTCCCCCAGCCCGAGGAAAACACACCACATCCACTTTTCCAAGTCTAGAGGTTGACAGCTGAATGGCTTCCCTCCAAACTGCACAATCACGATCTATGCAAAGTATAAAGTACACAGAAAACTGAAAATTACCATTACTTATCTGAAAAAAATATAATAATTAATAATTAAAATTAAAAATAACTGAGAAAAACAAGTAATTTCAGGAATTAATGCATCCACTTACCTGCACAGCAAACGTGCCAAAAACAATCGAGCAGAAAATGGGGTTCCTGAAGATACCGTCAAAAACATTCCTCTCTCCGTGGATTTTGCGGGCATTTATCTCATTAAACAGCTGCATCATGACAAAGGTGTTAAAGATGATGGTGTAGTGCTCAGAGGGTGGAGAGTGGAGAGGAGCATTGCGGCCACTGTCGATGTCAAAGATCTGCTCACCTGGAAGGAAAAGAAAGAGTCAGGGAGTCAGATTTATGCCATAGTCTTTAAATCTGTAATATCCTACATCGGTATAACAGAGCAAAATAACCGTGCGTACCAACAAAGAGCAGTGTGAAGATGATAATGAGCTGATAGACTCCATGTCCTAAGATGTTCTTTGTCATGGTGCTGGAGATGAGAGGCTTATTGCGACCGTATGGCTTCCTCTTAAGCAGAGACTCCGTGGGAGGCTCTGTCGCCAGAGCCAGGGATGCAAAAGTATCCATGATAAGGTTCACCCACAACATCTGCACTGCTTTCAAAGGAGAGTCCTAAAGAAAGGTGACAGTAACATGTATCAATAACAGAATAGAATAATAGAACTACAATATAACCAGGCATGAAACATAAGTGTATTTCTTGAAGTTGTAAGCACTTATCATCTTTCGAATTACTGATTAGGCAACAGTAAACCAACTTGGATGAAATTCCATTTCATCACCATCAACTGTGTTAAAAATGACCATGATAGCGGGCTGGTATTACTTTGCAGTCTTTTTCATCCTTCTGACCTGTGTGATGCAGGCACCAGTGAAAGCCACAATGACAGCTACAACATTGACAGTAAGCTGGAACTGAAGAAACTTGGAGATGCTGTCGTAGACATTTCGGCCCCACATAACTGCTTTCACGATGCTGCTGAAGTTGTCGTCGGTGAGAATGATATCTGATGCTTCCTTGGCCACATCTGTACCAGCAATACCCTGGAAGAATGATGACAAGCTGCAGTGAGAAAGAAACTGGAGTTTTCTATTTCACAGCTGCTCTCCTTCTAACTTCATCACACTGCAGTATTCCTCAGCCTACCACGTTAAAAATAACGTTGAAGCATATAATCAACTCTGCAGTCAACTGGACAATGCTGGACCCTGTAGATGAGTCACTGTTGTGTTTAATAATAATACCAGCTACCTAAGGAGTCAGTGTGCATGTAATCAGGTAAAGCGCAGACTGTAGGAGGGACTCTCTTTCTGTATTATGTTATATTTTGAAGGAGAAGCACGAGCAGCACCTTCTAGGCAGTGGCTGGATTTGGACAAGGATGCCCTTATTAGTGAAAGTGTGGAGTGAATACTTATGCGGACATCTTTTTAAACATGTCTCATTAAATGAATTAATGTGCGTGATTAGGTTGAAATCTGAGCCCAAACCAATCTCCTTCAATCAGATTTCCTGCTTAAGCACAGAAGCTGAAATACTTTTTTACAGTATCTTACAGGACCACAGTGTAGAAGGAGAGCTGCAACTCATGTTACATAAGACCTATTAAAATATATATATGGGTTTTGCTATAACGTTTTTAACAAGCTGAACAAGCTTCTGCAGAATAACTGCGTTAATAATGAAATCCACTAGGGGGAGCTCCTTATCCACGCAGCCAGAGTGAGAGCGCCTGAGAAGAATTCTTAAACACTGCAGAGGTGAAAAAGACATCTGCAGATGTTGACTGAGATCAGTCTCACAAGAATGCAAGATAAGGCATGAACAAACAGCCAAACAAAACAGGAAAGAAGGGCTGCTTACCATGGCAAATCCAACGTCAGCTTTCTTTAGAGCAGGCCCATCATTGGTCCCATCTCCAGTCACAGCCACCACCTGCCTCTGGTCTGCCATAGTGCTGTCAATAATGCCTGCAATAAAGAGATAAACAAAGCAGCATAGGAAGAAGTGCATATACACATAAAGCACAAAGACTCAAGAAACAAGGAAAGGCAACAGTAATGATCTCTGTCTAAGTCAGAGCAAAAAGTGTGCAACCAATTCACCTTTGACGAGTGTGTGTTTGTCGGTTGGGGATGATCTAGCCAGTACTCGGAGTTTAGGCCAAACTTTATCGATACGCTCCTGTTCCACCTGCACACACACACATAGACACACACAAACACAAATTGAAAGAGAGGAACAAGAGCAACACTTTTGCTTATTTTTCCTTAACCTCTGCAACTCTCTTCCATGAGTGGCTCACTTTTTACCTCCTCTCACACTGACAGTATTTGCTGTACCTCTCCTTTCTCATTGCGGATCCTCCTGTTGAACTCTTTGCCATCGATGCACAGGAAGTCCTCTCCTGGGTGGATGATACCACACTTGATGGCTATGGCTCGGGCTGTGTTTATATTGTCTCCTGTCACCATACGCACTGTGATGCCTGCACGCTGGCACTTCTGAATGGCATCAGGGACCTAAAATAGGGAGACACATGCACAATCATTCAGTACAACAGAAATATGTAAAAAGGAAAGCATATTTCACCTATTATTTAAAGCTGCACTAACCAAATTTAACCAATTAATACTAAGACTGAGCATAATGCAGCCAGCTTTTACTGTGCGGAGGTCTGGCAAACCTTTTATTTCAAGGAAGCCTTCTGATATACCCAGTAGTAGAAGGAGCTGCATTTCTGACCACTGGATGAATTAAATTAAGATTTTCACTTTTTCTCTGGTTTTCTCTGGTTTTGTTCTCCACCAACTCCTGAGGGAATTTTAAATTCCATTTGCCATCTGGTGGCACATGCACAGTTTTCAGAGCTTCAGTATTTGAGTAGTGTTTATAAATGAAAAAACAATCTTGCAGTTATTCACAAAACACAAACACATGCAAGCAAGTAAATCAAAGCCCCATTATTATTAAGTTCTCCAGATAGTATTGCAATAAATTAATTATGACTACTCATGTATGGATATGGATCTGTAGTTGAAGCATCTTGCAAAAGAGTAGTAATTCAGAAACACATATTTCTCCTTGCAAAGGTCAGTGTGGGCGAGCTCTGCTCTCCAAACCCACACATAAACAATTGTGCTCACGTACCATAATAACAACTTGCATCAGTTTACACATACATGCAGGCAAGTAATTCTTTCTGCCTTCACACATAAAAAACATAAAACATGGATCCATCATTGAAATGTGCGCTTGCATCATGCATTAAACTGCCGAATCGAACTGCTTATGCATGCAAGCATAGAGAAGTTTGTTTTTACAAAGTATGGCTATACAGCGGAGGAGTGCAGGTCTTTAATAAGCTGGAGGTTAAAATAAAAACAGATAGGATTTTTTCGCCTACTTAGAACTACATAACTTTTGCACAGCAGCTGCTACATGCAAAAATGATTATCGTAAATATGAAAACCTAGAACAGTCAAAGAAGCGAAATTATTTCATTTAATTCGATATTTGAAGAAGAACAATATTTGCTTCAGTCACAACAAAACCATCTTTAACCTATATCAGCCTGTCATTTCATCAATTACACAAAATAAAATAGCCAACTAATACGTATACCAGTTAATACTCTGAAGAGGTCAACGAAGTTAAATATTCTTCAAATGTAAACAGAAAAAAAAAAGAAAAAAGTAATATGTAGTAATGTGATTTTTATAAGTTAAACAAGCTCATGCTCTATATTATCCAGATATTGACTCATTGTTATCAAGATATCAGGTTCCTGTTTGGCTCGTCTGTCATCCCTGGTATTTAGTTAAACCTTTCATTTCTCTTGGACTCGTACTGCTCAAGATGACTGCTCACTTGAAACTAGGAGGTGAAGAAAAGACTGGAGGTTTATTAAAAATACAATCTGGTCCATCAGAGGAAGAAAGTAGGAGTCTAGTAGGTGAGACTGGGAAACAAGCACCTCGTGCCTCTTATATGGATCTGGTTACACTCTCATTTTCTACCATTTCTCTCTACCATTCCTACCCATCATCCTCCTGCCTTCTGTCATCCTTCTGACAGAAATCTGATTTTGAACATTTCTCAGTCTCTCATTCCCTCCACTATTCTCTCTCGTCTCTCTGGGGCCGTTCTCAGAGAGCATCCACTTATTAAACAAACATTGCATTACAGAGGAAGAAATTAGAGACTAATAAACAAACCAAAACCATGTTTACTAGTCTGTTTGACCCTTTTAAAATAATGGAATGTCATCTAATTTCCAGTATTAACCAGTTAATTTAGCAAAGAGCCTGGAAAGTCTTTACTGGATTGTAGCAGTTTCTGTGCACTGCTTCTCAACTGGGTTATTGAAAATGACAGATACCGAGTGACCTCTAGGGTTGAGTAGAGAGAGTAATCTGCAAACTTTGAGGCTATGCATCACTGCGAAGGGCTATGTTAACACAGTATATATGGGTGGCATAGTGGTGGTGTGGTTAGGAAGAAGGTTCCTGCTTCAAACTGAGACCCTCCTGTGCAGAGCTTGCTTATTTTCCTTGTGCGTCCATGGGTTTCCATTAAGTACTCTGGCTTCCACCCACAGTTCAAAGACGTGCACATCAGGTTAACGCGTAAGTCTAAACTGGCCATGGATGTAAAACAGTTTATGGGATGGATGCAGTGGATAACCTCTACAATAATAAGTCTATAATAACTCCAGGTTTTGTATTCGTGTCTTTTCCCTAACTCCTCCTAGACACATCGATCAATCTGGATGAAAGTATAACAAACTGTCTAAGGTGGCAGGGTTATCAATTTCTATTATTCAATAGCTTTATTGAATTTGTGTTTAGGGAATACTAATAATTTTCAGGAATTATTTTATAACATTCAAATTCTTACAAATTATATGTGTGTAGCAGCTGATCTCAAAACCAACAACATAATTGTAACTATGTTATGTGTACATTTGTTTGATGTTTATGACACTATATTGACAGCTTATATATTGATATAATTTTGAAAAAAAGAATAAGAGCAGGGTTTTGCTAGTATATGCTCAGAATATGACTTCTAGTTAAAGCACTTTGAGTGGACAGTAACAACATAAAAACACTATGTAAATGTGGCCACACTACATATTCATTTTACTGTACAGTATGTTCAGCATTAAATATTTGATTTCTTTTGTATTTATTCATCTGAACACTATAATTTTCCCCAAATTGCAAAAAACCTTCCATAATATTGCAATACAAGAGGGGATTCTCAGTTAATATAGCTCAGCTTTGGAGAGAAAGATAGAGACATCACAATGACAGAGAGAGATTTGCAGAAAATGCGAAAGGAAAAGGAGTCATCAAAAAGAGGAACATCACCACAGACAGAGGTGGAGAGGAGAAAACATGTTGGGTTGGGGCTGAATGAGCAATGCTGTTCTAGAAAGAGCAGGAGGATGGAAACAAGATGAAAGGAAGCAGTTGAATAATCCAGTAGTCAGTTAATTTTCCTGCTTCCTTCTCCCTGCACTGGAGCTGTGAAGCGAGGTCAGCTTTCCTACTGTACACAGATACCTCTTTCTTCCAATTATAATACACTCTATTCCTTCATGTGAAATTTATCATTAAAAACTGTACCCCTGAAGAAATTGCTTTATGATGAATCACTTATTGCATTGAACATTTCTTTTTGTTTCAACGGATGATTTTACAAAAGTGATCAGAAGAAATAAGCTGGTCTCATCTAAGAATTGATTTGGTGTTTAAAATTCAAATTAATACTTTGATCCTCATCTATACAATAAACCTTTATGTAAATAGACACTGCTTCAAAGTAACAGCGAGGACATACCACTGGTTATGACACAGCTGCTGAAAGCTGGTATTATAAACCATTTGTTCGACATCCCCCTCCTCTCAGTCCATTACTAAAATATCTCTCCTACCTCTGGCCTGACGGGATCCTCTATTCCGACAACACAGATGGCTGTGAGGTCATTCAGGATGTTGTTCTCATCATCCCAGTTGGGCTCAGGATTGCTGGAAAAGTCACGATACGCCACACAGATGGTCCTCAAGCCATCACACGCCATGGGCTCAATCACTTTCTTCACCATCTCATCCTTGTCTCGTGGACGGAAAACCCTTGGCTCACCCACCTCGTTTTGGATATGGCTGCATCTGCAAACAAGGGTGTGGCGTAGGTTGAGAGGGTCATTTTAAATTATATACTGTAACATTGGTATTGTCTGTGTTTTTAGTGCTTGGAAATGAGCCAGCATTTTAAAAAGAACAAAATATATAGTCAAATCTCTCAGCCTGGCATTACTGCTTTGCTTAAATGAATACTGGTGAATCAAAAAAGGATGCACTGAGAACTGCAATGCTGTGCAAAAGAAAAGACATAGGGACTAATATGCCTTTTGTGGCAGGATACCACAATATTACAAAAAAAGAAAGTGCATTGGGGTACACACTGTAGAGAGCTCAAATGGAGGACAAACAATTTCCTCTAAAAGATTTTTAAAAAACAGCTAACACATTTCCTAAATAACTAAAGTACTGTAGCCAAAAGATAATTACATTTGATCAAGACTAAACTGATTTGCTAAACAAGTTAAATATATCAACAGACAAACTGAAAACAAACAGGTATACTGGCATACAGCCAAATACAAATGCTGTACATCATTTACGGAAAAGCAACTGAACCATAATTAATGCAAACGTCCTTTTAGGACCTGTCAGCTTGACAAAAATGTGAATTTAACCTTTCATACATTGTATTATTGAATCTCTGTTTATATTAACTGTAACACCTATAATGTAGAAACATAAAAAATACTATTGAATTCAAGTAATTTTATGACTTTTTATTTAAAAAGTCATAAAATAAAAAGTCTTTTTATTTAACATTAACATTAAAGTCATAACATGACTTTAATGTTAATGCTGATCAAATGCTCTTAATTAACCGCACTTGATTAAAAAGTTGTCTGGAGCATTGAGGTGCGTGTTAAACACATCTGCAATGATCTTTAAGAAGCACAGATTTATTCTTCCTTAGCAAGAAGAATCTGGATTAAACATTAATCTGGGAAAGACTACAAGCCTATTTCCAAACAATTTTTACTCCATTATTTTACAATGAGAAAGATTTGGGGTAGGGGATCAGATCCAAGATGAGACCATGCAATGCTGCAAATAGAATTTCACATTTCTCCTTCTGCATCTCAGGTTTTTCTCAAAACCACTCACTGTAATGTTACTATAACGCCCTGCAAAATGACATGATTGTAAGACATACTGCTAGAAACTTACACTGAATGTAGTGTAAATCTGCAGAGCACCTTATTAAATTATATAACTGCAACTTCCAGGTTATTTTAAACCATTAAACCAGACTCACTTTTTGAGTACAATCTCAGAGGCTCCCTTGCTGTACATCCGGAAGCTACCGTCAGGCAGCTTTATGACAGTGCTCATCGACTTCCTGACAGAGTTGAAGGTATAGACTTTGTAAAGCTTCTCCTCTGGGATCTGGTTTCTTATTGGCTGGTAATCCCGCTTCAGGTCCAAAACTAGTCCCAGCAGGCCACACTCTGTCTTGTTGCCCACCTGCTTCGGCAGACCGCCTTCCTTATCTGGGGGCTGTAAAATGAGGGACAGGAAAAAAAAGATTTAAATGTGTTCAGTTATATTTTTAGTCTAATATTAAGTAGGCATGCTAAAAAAGAAGACCTAAGGTTTTACGCATCAGGAAATAATAAAAAATAAACTGGTCTTTAGCAAGTTTTACAATTAGATAAATGCAACCGCAGATGAACAACAAAACATGACATGTTACACCTTTCACTACTTAACAAAAACTAAGCCAAAATAAAGAATCAGTGATGTGAATAACTAAATACACACTTATTGCTTCCATAGGAACTAAGAGGAAGTCAACAAGCAGCAGCCACCAGGTGCTGCTGATCAAATGCTCTTAATTAACTGCACTTGATTAAAAAGTTGTCTGGAGCATTGAGGTGCGTGTTAAACACATCTGCAATGATCTTTAAGAAGCACAGATTTATTCTTCCTTAGCAAGAAGAATCTGGATTAAACATTAATCTGGGAAAGACTACAAGCCTATTTCCAAACAATTTTTACTCCATTATTTTACAATGAGAAAGATTTGGGGTAGGGGATCAGATCCAAGATGAGACCATGCAATGCTGCAAAAAAAAAAACCCAAAAGCTACATCTTAATGCTGAAGTTCATAACAATACAATTAAAAAAAAGACTGAAGTGAATTATGACTTGTTTTGGAAGATCTTCCAGGTTTGGAAGGTCTTTTTTTTCCAAAAAGAACCTAGACGCAATTGCATCTGAACAAATCACACAACTTTTGGAACAATATACTTTGGACAGATGAGCCCAACATGAAGATATGTGGCCATAATGCACAGTGCCACTTTTGGAGAAATCCAAACACAGCATATCACCATAAATATATGATACAAGCTGTCAAGCATGGTGGTGGCGGGCTGATGATTTGGTGTTTTGCAGCCACCAGACCTGCACACTTTGTAGCCCCTGAATGAATCATGAAAGGTTTCTAGTCAATTATAAGGCCATTTTCCAGACAGCTAAAGCCTGACTGAAAGTGAGTCATAAAAGAGGACAATGACGACAGAATGACGGCAGTGATACCTTAAGAGAGCTGTGCACAAACAAATGTCTGCAAATGTCAATACAAGTTGAAGGTACTGAGTCATGGGATGTACTCAGTTTTTCACAGAACTCCATGACGTCAGAGAATTTACCCTCTTTTTTTTTCCATGACTGTACATATGGCTTTACTTTTTTTTTTTTTATCTATCTGTAATTGTTATTCACTTAACTGCAACTTAAGATAATTTTACAACATTGTTACACATATTGTTTCTACCTAATCCAACACTTCGACTTTTAAATGTTCTTAGTTTGCGTTTCCTCATAGGGTAAATGAAAATAATCCTGCCACAGAGAGTAAGTTTTCAGTGTAATATATTTCATACACTCATGTGATCTATTCACTGAATGAGATTCTCTCTCCTTCAGCTCAGTGCGACCAGTGTAATGCTTGAAATAGCTGCTGGTGATAATTAACCAGCTAGCAGGTGAAAGGGTCACTTTGTGTGGGAGGGCAGAAGATGAGATAGATGGAATCAGGTTTAGATCGTCTTATTTCAGGCACACAGCTCAACCCTGTGAAATCTGTAATTGTATACTTGGAACCATGTATTGCTCTGGTTCAGTGAACATGTCAGTGGATAGACATAGCACGTAATATCATTTTCTACCTAACATATGCAAGTATGGTTGGAAATGTGTTGTGATAGGCTCATAAGTACTCTGTGTTTTAGGTGTGCATCCAGTGTTTTGGGTTTATTAGCAGCCATTAGGAGTCATTACTATTGCCAGTTGTGTGTGTGTAAGTTTGTGTGTGATACAGTATCTGTGCAGGTGGCTACAGTACATGTGTGCCACCATGTACACACTCACGCTACAAGCAAGAGTGCGAATGTTTGTGCATGTGGTCAGCTTGTCAAAGGCCCAGCGTTGCCATGGTAACATTGGGCAAAAGAACAAGAAGAACACGAAGAGACTTGGGAAAAGAGAGGGTGCACTCTCGACCACTTGGGGATTCTTACTCCTTGGCTCCATTCCTCTTTCATGATTTTCCCTCATTTCATGTCACACATATCCTCAAATCCTTCTGCGTTTCCTTCTTCATCTTTTCCCAGCCCCCATTCATTAACATTTCCAGAGCTTTTTTCTATTTAGGAAGAAATAACGCATGTACAGAAACTACCTGTCACTATGACAGGATAAATCTCACTATAGTCAATATCTTAGTAAGTAAAGGGCCAAACAACGCATGAAAAAACAAAGGAAGAGCATTCCAGTCCAAAGTCACAGAACCTCAGGGACCTGCCAGGGACATATGAGTGCAGACGCCCTCTGGTGTAACCTGGTGCCTGTCCATGAAAAGCTCTCCATGTCAGTAAAAGAATCTTAAACTGCACTCTGAAATAAACCGGAAGCCAGTGCAGCTGCGTCAAAATTTGAGTCACACGTGGAAACTCTGAGGATTTTATCAGAAGTCTGTCAGCAACATACTGAACAACCGTTCTAGGGAGGTTTTGGTAAGACTTGTGTATAGTGCACCGCAGCAATCCAATCGCAATGAAACAAAAGCATGTATCTTACAGAGACTCATATGTTCAGACACATCTCAGGAGCGATCCCTGCTGTTATTATTCATAACACGCCTCTTCAAATCTGCACATCCTCTCAACCCTATTTACATTTGACTAAAATATAAAAACATAAAACTAAATTAAAAAGCTGTTAACCTTCACTCTTAAAAAAATAGTGTGCTCAGATAATGTTAGGAAATAATGAAAAATGACTATTTACTGTATCACTGATTTTCTAGAAAGAAGTCAGACAAATAGATTATCATAGTAGTTGCAACTCATTTTTTAAATTTTACTTTATTTCGCTGTTTCAATTGACTAAGAAAAAAAGTAAAGGTAAATAATAATTTTGTGGTAATAAATTATATTGGCTGTATACATGTTGAAAAACACAGTTAATCATATCTGGGAATACAGTTCATTTTGGATCCCTATTAGCTGGCACTGAGCTGACAGCTAGTCTCCCCAGAATTTTTGCTATATAGTACCTACAGTATGTTTGACACCTACACTCACTGCTACAGAACAGCTTGTCGGGTACACTGTCTTCTTACACGCACGCACACACAGCAGCATGTAGCAACCGCATTGAAAATAATGCTTCTACCTTGGTTGCTTGATCAGCAGACACCTTCAGCTTGAGCTATTTGCTCCAAAATAGATTGACTGCAGGCTGTTCTGCGTTAAACAAGCCTGCGGCCGGGATTAGATTTCAAAGGACAGCTTGGCATTTTGACGATTTGTATTTGCCTTTATTACTGTTTTCTTCACTTGGTCCTTGTCACAGCGTGTTCATAAAGATTCTGTGTTGGCACTATAGTTAATAACGTTGACGATGCACTCCATTTAAAGCTGTCCACATGCTAACGAGGCTTTGATAGAATTCTGATTAACTGCTTTGATATCCTTTTTAAGGTTAATGATGCACAAAAGGCCTAATAAGAGAAAAGTATGTGGAGTGAAAATACTAGGAGGGCACTTTCCTCGTTTCACCAGTTCTTCCTTATGTGAAACAGCATGGTGGTGCTGCGAAATAGCACCGGTGACTCCCAGCAAGAAGGTCCTGAGTTTCAATCCACCAACTGGGGTCTGACTCAGGATACTCTGTTTTCTCCCACAATCCAAGGATATGCATGTTAGATTAACTGGTGATTTGAAATTGGTGTAAATGTGACCTGGGCAGGCTGCAGCCCAACCACAACCCTGAATTGGATATGTTAATGGATTTCCTTATCTAAACAGAAGTCTAAATAAAGAGGTTGATTTGCAGGTTTTGAAATAATTTAAGGTAAATTTGTGATTTTAGGCTAAACAACTGACTAGAATTTACCTTTATCACATCAAATGCTTTTAAAAAATTTATGCCACTGCCGCTATCAGAATTGGTACTAAAATGATTACCAAAATCAATTTTTTTGTTTCTGTAACGGTTAACCCACCAGCACGTGCAAGCCTTTTAATCAACACACAAAAACACATTATTATTGTTTGATTAAGATGCCAAATTACAGTCATTTACTTGCATATAAAAATTTGTTTTAATGGTTGAATTAATTTCTGACTTCTTGTGCCAGCTCAAATTTGGGTATAAAAAATGTGAATTCAGTCATTTTCAGTTTTTGACAGATTTTTAAAACATTTGTGTTGTCTCGTTTTTATGGCAGGGGTCCTAATAAATTTGTTAAGCACTGTATCTGCTATCAATATTTGCTTTAGAGGCTCATATTTTGAGCTCAATATTTCTGACCTTCTTGACTATCGAATATTGGATATTGATTAATTCAGGCTGAGGCATTTTTTTTTACTTATCCTTGCAGCTGTTGAGAGCCAGTGGACCCAGCTGAAAAAGTCGTCTAAAATCTCATTAATCATTAAAACCCAATCAGAAGACTGGCCCATCCTCACCTAGTAATTTGACATATCTGGTTTTTATCTAGCTGTATGTCTCACAGACACAGACAAGAGCATAAATACTTTATACAGAGTTTATGGTAAATAACAGAATTAATGCCTTTTTCTAATGACCAATGATTACATCAGGAAGACACTGCCTGTCATTGGCAAATGAGGAGATGGAACAAATGGCCTCATCTGCCCTGTCTGCTAAGTGTTTGGTAGAATAGGCTCCCAGCCAGAAGACCAAATCAAGTTAAACCTCTAAAATGACTGAACAAAATGACCAAAATGAGAAACGCACAGTGTATAAAAAATAAATGGTAACTTTTAGATCAACTAAATCATACAGAAAACAGTCACTACTCCATTTAAATGTTGTGTAATGGCTGCCTTCATAGTCCATCCACCCATCCATCCATCAATCCAAATACAGTATATTAGAGCAGTAAATACTTAACCATGTTTGTTAATTTAAATGACAGCTATTTCAACTTCAGCTTAGCTACTGGCACAACTCCTGTTCCAGC